ATACACATAAAATAAAAATAATAAATAAAATATTTTTTAAAAAGAAAGAAAACCTTACGTCTACGTGTTAGACTATGTTGTCACTTCTTAATAACCAGGGTAAGACTTGCCAACCTGAAAGAAACCTAAATGTTACTTCAGAGGTAATAGTGGATTCTTATTCCATCTGCACGCCTGAGGATCATTCATTGGCCTCATTGTTACATCTCATTTTCAAATGCAATTCAGATCTGTTTTGTGGCTCCTGTTCCCTTCCTGCTAATTCAATAATTAAATGAGTATTTTTTGAATACTCAGTATGAACCAGGCCCTGTACCAGGGAGTTGTATTAGTTATGTAAGATCTAGTATCTGGTTAAAAAAACTTAATTTGTGTTAGAAGAGATAGACTTATGTTCCTTGATTTATAAAACAAAGCAGAGGGTGGGTGGGTGCTGGATGAATAGCAGGCACACCTAGTGCTTTATTCCTTAAGTTGATGTGGATATCAAAACTCCGGGGCGTATATGTTTCTGGGTGCCTTGACTTTTATACCTCAAGGCAAGGCGATCTGAGTGCCTCAGGCCTATCGCCACTTACTAGCTGATTGAATTCAGGTGTGGCCTTGTAGGCTCTGGTCCTCATTTCTTATCACTCTAAAGTCAGGGCTACTACTTCCTACCCACACACATCTTCCCCAGTGTCCCTTTTTACTGAACTTACTGCTGTGGTTGCTTGTCTGATATTATAAAAGTGATTCTAAACTTTCTGATGTATCCCTTAGTTCTGGATGTGTATTTCCAATGCCCATTTAGTCTCCATTTGTACGTACAGTATGTTTTCAAACTGGAAAAGGATGCAGTCTTTTAAGAAAAATCTTAGGTAAAGAATATATTAATAAAATTATTTCTGGGGCTGGAGCGATGGCTCAGTTGTTAAGAACACTGACTGCTCTTGCAGAGAACCTGGGTTTGATTCCCAGCACCCACATAATGGCTAACAGCTGTCTGTAACTCCAGTTTCAGGGGATCTGATTCCCTCTTCCGAACTCCACGAGCACTTTTCATGGCATGGGTGCACTTACATACATGCTGGCAATACACTCATGCACATAAAATAAAAATAATAAAATTAAAAAATAGCCGAGTGTGGTGCCAAACACCTTTCATCTCAGCACTTGGGAGGCAGAGGGATCTGGGAGGCAGGTGGATCTCTGTGAGTTTGAGGCCAGCCTCATCTACATAGTGAGGACCAGACCAGACTAGCTGGGGCTGCAGAGAGACCCTGTCTCAAAAAGACAAAATTAATTAATTAAATAAATAAAATTATTTCTGTTATACATTCCAGAATCAATATCAATTTCAAACTTGGGTTTTTTTGGGGTAGGGGTTGGTCTTTTTGAGACAGGGTCTCCCTATAGCCCCAGCTGTCCTGGAACTCACTATGTAGACCAGGCTGGCCTTGAACTCACAGATCCACCTACCTCTGCCTTCCCGAGTACTGGGATTAAAGGCGTGTGCTACCACACCCGGCTCTCAAATATGTTTTATAATTTCTTTGCTTTTTAACCCTTTCACAAATTGTTTTATTTTGTTTTTGATATTTCTAAGACAGGGTCTCCCTATAGCCCCAGCTGGCCTGGAACTCACTATGTAGACCAGGCTAGGCTTGAACTCACAGAGATCTGCCTGGGATTAAAGGTGTGTGCCACCACATCCGGCCTTTGACACATTGATTTTTATATGGCTAAGGGTGCATGATTTTAAAAGGGAATTTCTGTTGCAAGTGTTTGCCAAGCCCCTTGTGGCAGAGGGAGAAACAGTTTTAGTAACCTCAGGAAAATGCATAGGAGAACAGAGTTGGCAAAAGGCTGCCACTTGAACCTGCTTTCTGGAGACCCTTGTCCCATTGACTGTACCCACAACTGCTTCCTAAGTCTGTGGACAGGACTATGGAGTGGGAAATGGGACGTTCTCGGGAGAGGGAGGGTGCTGCAGGGAGTGGGTGTGGGCAGAGGTTGCAAGGCTGCCAGGGTTCTGTGTGTGCCGGAAGTGCAGGTTTGGCTGGGAGGAATGGAATGTTCCCTCTTGCCCTCCAAGAGCAGAAACAGCTGTGGAAT